CCCCTTTCATGCTCTCTCTCTCAAATAAATAAATAAAATCTTAAAAAAAAAAAAAAGAATATACATAGGTAAGTGACAAAGACCAGACGATAGTTCCCTTCATGAAATCCGGCCCAGTCAGTGAAAGAGAGTAGGAAAAAACTATCCACTGGCTCAGGAAAGCAGGAAAAACTTTCTGCCAGGGACCCTAGGTAGGGCTGGTACAGGATAAAGGGTCCAGAAAAAAATGGAAACCACAGGCCTGTACTGTAATCAAATATTTAGAGAATATACATTATCTAGATGGCATAGAAACTCCTAGCTTTGAAATTTCAAGTACCATTGAAATCCCTAGGGCTCTGGAACCAACAGAAATGAAAAGTTACCATACTTTCATGACACAGCGTATAGAACTTCCACAGAGAAGAGGGAAAAAAATCCTGCTGAAGATGTGATCATCTTCAAAGAATTATAAACCATACAAAGAGATACATTTCCATGAAGCATAGTCAGCATACACAGCAAGTTAGAATATCTACCACGCACTCAGAAAAAAAAGAAACAATACAAAAGAAACCATAAAATAGTATGTTGAAAATAATTAAAATAAAAAGTAAAGCCATAATGAAAGATTAGGATATCGTGAAAAATCTTGACATTTGAAAAAGAACCAAAAGGAGTATCTAGAAATAAAAAATTACAGTTACAAAGATGAAAAACTTAGTGGATATATTAAAAAGCAGATTAGACATAGTTGAAGAGATTCTTAATTAACTGGAAGGCAGATATGAGTACATGATCCAGAATACACAAAGGAGAAATAAAGAACAGAACACATGGAATTACAATTAAAAGATATAGAGGACAAAAATCTAACAGAAGTGCAAAAGGAGGAGATGGAATGAAGGAAGACAGTAGATAATGGCTAAAAATTTTGAAAAATGACGACAGTTGTGAGAGACACAACCTTCTGATAGCATGACTAAAAACGAACCCATACCTAGACATGTTTTAGTAAAACTACAGAACATCAAAAAAAAAAAAAATCTTTTAAAAGAAACCAGAGAGAAGAAATTACCTTCAAAGGAATAATAATTAGGCTGACAAAAGATTTCCAATCAGCAGCAATGTAAGTCATAGTCTGTGGAACAATAGCTTCAAAGAACTAAAAGAAAATAATTGTCAATTGAGCTAATTACCATTCCTTTCCTATTTATTTCTTAACTCAATGGAGAGATGTATGCTACCAGAAGAGACATTTGGATAGGACTAGCTGAGATTCGCAAAGACCAACAGTATCTGGGAAGACAGTTAATTTGGTGGAAACTGCACCTGAGTTTCCTAAATGTGAGGTGGAATAGATGACCTACCTACACCTAAGGCTCCAGAAGCTTTTGCCTTTACATATATTTCTAGCCAAAAGGTGTCTCTCTTAGTGCAAAAGGATTAGATAGAATTATTTATGGAGCGTGTTAAGTGAACTCTAGATACATAGCACAGTAATTAAAACTGAATCCCCTGGATTCAGACTATTTAGACAAGATTGGGTCCATTCAGGGTGGTATGGTGGTAGACTGGATTAAGACTAGGATCAAATCCTGACTTTGCTTTTATTGCACTGAGTCAATTTGATCAAGGTACTTTATTTCTCTATGCCTCAGTTTCTGCAGTTATACCTCACAGTTTAAAAAGATTAAGTTAGGAAAGACATGTAAGGTAATTAATTGGCATAGTATCTAGCACAGAGCAGGTGGTTAATAAAGCCCAGCTATTATTATTAGTTTTGACTACAGTACTATAATTTGATCATGTAGTTTGAAGGACTTATCTTTAATATGACTACAGAAAAACTAAAATATCAGAAACACATACTCTGACATCTACTGAGCAGCCCACAGTCCATGACGGATTTCCCAGGACTTGATTTTGACACAGAAGATGAACCAGTGAAGATTTTCCAACACCTGTAAAAGATATAAGAACTCTAGTCAAATAAGAGATATGCTGAAATATTTATCATGACGAAAGTCTGAGCATACCCCAGTAATAATGATATGTAAAGTATAGTTGTTTAAAGGGTGGTCACACCATACCCTTTGGAAAAAGAGAAATACTCTATTCCCTCTTCTAAGGCAGCACTTTATTTTCATATAGATCTCTTGGGTTCAGGTAATGTAGTTATTAATGCCAGAACTAGCATTAGGACATCTGTAGGAAGAGGAAAGAGGATGAGTCCTTCTGTCTACCTGTATGTAGAATCACTCATTCAATTGACAGCATTTTGGGATGTCATTATAACAAGCATAGTTGGTGAATCTTTATGCAACACTAGTTATATCAAAAATTTAGACCATCTCTTTGTGTGCATTACTGTGTATGAATCTATCAGTTACGTTTATTTATTATAAAAAGTTGTATTTAGAGACAATCTGGAAAGAATTTTTAAAAAAAGGAAAAATTCCCTGAAGAGCCCTTTGAGCAATATGTAAGTTCATTTAATATCACAAGCAGGATTCTTCTAAAAGCAAGTTGTTACTGGGAATATGTACATGGTGTACTTAAAAACAATACAATATAGGCCTTTGCTTGTACAGCTGGTTCTGTCTGGAATATCCTCCCCATCCTCCCTCGTCATTTCCCCTTCCCCACTGGCCTGGTGAATTAATCTTTCAAGACTCAGGATCTTTCTAGTTATAAAGTCCTTTGGAATTCCACAGAGATAGAACTAAGGACACTCACTATCCACCATCCTCTCGGTCTCCACTGTACTCTGCACATTTTTTTACAAAGCACTGAAAACACATTATTACACTTCTTTGTTTATAGGTTTTATTCACTCTAAGTTTTTTGAGGGTTGGAACTGGGTTTAGTCATCGTTTGTATCTCCAGTATTCAGAACAGGGCCTTAATTAGTATTTATTTAGAGGCTAAAATTTTCCATGTTATTATAGAATCTTCATAAACATTTTTAATGTCTCCACAGTAGTTCAGAGAGTAGACAACAATTTACTTAACCATTCCCTCTCATTATTAAGTATGTAGGATGTTTTGAATTTTTCACTATGCTAAGAGAGGACTGTTCAAATTTTTGTTTCAAATTAAAATTATTTCCTTAGTATATCTTCCCAGAAGCGAAATTAGTATATAAAAGGAAATGAGCATTTCAAGTTCTTGATGTATGTTGACAACTTTCATCTGGTTACTCTGTTACCAGTCATACATATAAGCCTGCACGTCCTGTTGCACCTCAACAGTATGTATGCTGTTTCTTTTTCATCTATATTAATTTGATAAAAGAAAAAAAGTGACATCTTGCTTTAGTCTACATTTCTTTACCTTCTGGTAAAGATCTACATTACAATTACCTTTGTTAATCAGTTGTCTTTCCTTTCTTATGAATTATTTGTTGATGTTCTCTGCCCATTTATCTAATGGCTTTTAGCGTTATCAATTTACATAACCTCTCTTTATATTAGCTGTCTGATGTAATTGAATCCAGTATTTTCCCAGGTTTCCCTTTAATTCTTTTTATTTTTTTCAATACAGACAATTAAACCCCGCATAGAGCCCCGCATCGGGCTCCCTGCTCAGTGGGAAGCCTGCCTCTCCCACTCCCCCTGCTTGTGTTCGCTCTCTCTGTCAAATAAATAAATAAAATCTTAAAAAAAAAAGAATTGACTAACACTGGATAGACTTGTCAACAGTAAGAACAGGAAGTGCCAGGAAAATTGGCAAACTATTCATTTCTTTAAGAATTTTGGGAGGTACTGGGGCGCCTGGGTGGCTCAGTCGTTAAGCGTCTGCACACATAGCCTAACATCCGTGAATGTATGACAAGATCAACCAAGTGGGCATGACTATGTCTTCTGTTTTACAACTAAACTATAAGGAAAAAGAAAAGCTTACTAATTGCCTGATCACTTTTCCACATTTAATGCAGCAGCTAATTCAACCCTGTTATGTAACACATCGATTACACAGTTATAGCCTCAGCACTTACTGTAGTGCCTGCTGTGTAGCAGATACTTAAGTAATTTTTGTGAAAAAGAAAAAATCGACTAGTTCCAACAATATGTAACATCAAGGGCTTGTTAGATGCAATAGAAAAGTGAATTAAAAATGAGAGAGAACACCTACTTCAGGTATCATGAACCATGTTAGCTCTGAATTCCAGTCTCAAATTCTACTTGGTGATACTTGCCAAGTCCATTTAGACCATCATTACTTTATTCATTTATATAAAACTGAGTGACTTCATTAAATTAATTTCAGCACCACTTCAAGCTAAAGAACTGAAGTTGACAAACTGGATTATATTCACAGAATTTCATAATGCAACTTTCTTTAGGGAATATTAAATAATGCTATCTATAAAATATTTTGCAATGCAAATAATCTTCAGGCAATGTGGAAACATTCTTAACCTCCTCCTCTCCACCACAATTGTACACAGTCTGAAAGGCTAGTTGTCAAGCTGTTTGGGGTATATTCTCTCCACCTCCAAGCATCTGGTACAATGTCTTTGCTCACAACACACATTCATAGGTTAACTCCAGAAAAGCACATCTACGAAATGCAAGGTTAGCATTTATTCCAAGTTCTTAAAGAGCACAGAAGTGGAAGTTATGATAAAAAAGAGGAGGGTACAGAGGTGGGAGGGGGAAATGCAGACTTCAATTTTAGTTCTCAAAAGTTCAAGGCGTCAAAAGAATTTTAACACTAGGATTAAATTGAGCTCAGCATTAAATCCCAGCTGTTTCATAATACGGCTTTATCTTAATTGCTCTATTTCTTACAACCTAGCACATAATAGGTTTTTAATTAGGATTACAGAGAACTAAGAAATCAAGAAACCCAGCTGAGAGTTAAAACAGGGCTACCACCCAATATTTAATTTCATAATATGCCTTAGTGTCTAAATACGTGGGTAGGTTCTGTCATTTACCTCTCTCCTCTTCACTTTTCTCAACTGTAAAATGGGGTTAATAGGGCTGCTATCAAGCTAAATGAATTGATACATGTAAAGCATTTGGAACACTGTCATTACTGCATGTTTGAATTCCGTAATGAACACAATCTCTTGAAGGCACGATCCCAACTTCACAGCGCCCAATCCAACAATGTCTGCATATCTTTTATAAAACAAAGGAACTGACAATACAACCCTAGGCTGCAGTCGCCAAGGAGACCAACTCGGAAAGCTGCGAAGGCGGAGAAAGGCCGGGGCTCGGCGCCCCCCACCCGCGCAACGCCACCTTCGTCAAATAGAGCAAAGTCCTCTGGGAAGTGTAGTTTTTAGACCTTGAGAGGGCTTTCAGCCATGGCAGGAGCCGGATCGTTGCAGGAGCGGAGGAATAGTGAAGGGAGAGGGTTAACGGATAACTCAAAAGTGTCGGGAGCCCCAGAGGTGGATTAAACCACTCACCTGAGTCTCCCAATACCAGTACCTTCACTCGATCCAAGGACGCCATCTTGCTACAGCCTGGAGTTAACGCCTGTTCCGGGATGGTAGGCCAACCAGAGCTGGGTATGTAAGGGAGAACCTTCAATTTCATTGGCTAGTCGGGGTGTGACTGTCTTGACTGAAGGCCTCACTGTGCTGATTGGCCGGCATGGTTAAAAAGTGATGGGTGGGTTCCAAAGCTGGTCGCAGGATTAAGGCGTTTTCCTTGTCGCACAAGTGGCGTGGCTCGTTTAAGCCGGTAGTTGAGGCGCTGAGGGAAGCTGTAGTGGGAGTGTTCGAGGATTCGTTTTGGTAAACCTTGTTCCCTGTTCCTTGTTCTCGATTCCCTGGTCCGGCGTCGCATTTCAGGGTTTCTCCCTCTTCTCCCTCTTTTCTCCTTAGCTACCCGCCTCCCTTTAGCTACTCTCTTGATTTGGTCCTCCAAAGAACCATTGACCCCGGAGCGGCCAGTGTACAACCTCGGGTAGGATGGGCTTGGATGCGCCGAGTGTGGCCCCAGGACTCAGCTGGCACAGTCCGAGGGAATTTAGGGCCTCGGGGTCTGTCACTGGGGAGTAGAGAACATTACTGAACCGAGTTCTTGGAGGGCAGCTGGTCCACAGCTTTGGCGGTGATATGCCGCTTTATGTATGAAGGTGTGGAAAGTACCATGAAACATGGTAACTGAAAAAAACCACAGTTATTCGTATAGAATTCAAGTTCTCCCAGAACTGGAATAGTGGTATACTGAAATAATCTAACTGGACTCCCGCATCCACTCCTTTCTATTTTATTTCACATCCTGTAGTCAGCATAGTCTTTTAAAATAGCGAATTTGAGCCTGTCACCTCCTGCCTAAAACCATTTGAAGTTTAAGGAGGTTTTCAGTAGCCTCTCTTTTTCTACTCTGGAAGCAGCATGGAGGAAGTGAACTGGGGGGCGAGGGGGAGCTGGCAGGGTGGGCATATTGGGTGAACACGTGCTTAGGAGACTTACGGAAAGTTTTATGAAAGTGCTTGATTAGCTTGGCTAGATGCTGGAAAGTGGTGAACAAGAGATAGACATGAAGAAAGTACAGATCTGTTCACTGCAAGGAAGAAAGGGAAAGCTCTGTGTGAAAGGGAAACATTTTAAGCTACTAAGGGGAATCTGGGAAGGTCTCTCTGAGAAATGTCATTTTATATGTGAAGGATGATTAGAAGGGAGTTTGAGCTTAGCTTTGTGGGCAGAAAGAACAGCATGTGGTGTTTGTTCCGGGCCTGGTGATGGAGAAAGCATGTGTGGCTCATGGAATTGAGAGAATGCCAGTGTGACTGGAGATGAGGCTGACAAGGATAAAGAGAGTGCAGAGAAAGCATTCATTTCAACTTTGTTTCTCCAGCTCTGTGCCTGGTGCCTGGCTAAATTTTTGTATGATGAGAAAACATGGTTCAAAAACCAAACCACTTGCCTTTGGGGGTCTGGATGGATAGGGAGGCTAGGAGGTGACTGATGGACTCTGAGTCTAAAAAGAAAAAGCAAAAGTTGGTGCTATAAGGTCATACTTTCAAAAGTCTGCAGAGACCAGCCAGGCTCCTTCCCTGTTTAAAACTGTCAACTGCTCTTTTCAGCTTCAGGTTATTGTTTCTATGTGGGAATATGGTCTCACTTTTTTCTTTAGATATTTCCAATTTTCAAGCTTAAAGTTGAAATTTATGTGAAATTTCACGATTTTTCAATGTTGACAACTAATTCAGAAAATTTTCAAAATGTTCTTTGGGTCAAACAATGTGACAGAGGCTGCCAGTTTGAGACCTCTGACTTAAGTAATGTAACAAATCCAAAGACCTGAGTAGGAGATTCATCGTAAGTGGGGAAGTAGAAGTGGTAGAGGAGAGAACAAAATGGTCAGGAAGGATGATTTTAGAATGTAGAGAGTTTGCATAAGCTGGAACAGCATGCCTTCTTTCCTGAGCTCCACTTTCATTTGTTCAGCTACCTACTGGACATCTTCATGGAATATTCTCTGGTATTTCCTCAGAGACAAGCATCTAAAAGTGAATGCCTCATTTCTCATAAACCTGTTCCTCTTTCAGGTGTTAACCCATTTTTCATAGTGGTAGTATTCTCTTCCTAGCCACACTGGCTCAATGCAATTATTTAATAACATTAAATATGTCATTGTTTAATGGGTGTAGCGTTTCAGTTTTACAAGATGAAAAGACTTACGGAGGTGGTGGTGGTGATTGTACAACATTATGATTGTATTTAATATCACTGAACTGGTATACTTAAAAATGGTTAATTGATAAATTTTGCGTTATGTGTATTTTACCAATAAAAAATATTATAAAAAAAGAAAAACCCAAATAACTACTTAAAATTTTCCTACTCTGTTACTCCACTTCCAATATATTATCAGATTCTTTTAATTTTGTTTCTATAATAAATTTCATTCATCCTGTCCTCTTCTTCCTTAGTTTAGGTTTGGTTACTATGGCTCCTAATACTTCTGCAGTACCTCATCTTCAATACTTCAGTTCATTCCTCTTAGAATTATTCTAAGAGTCACTTTTCTATATAGAGGGTCTTATTATCAATGCCAGTATTTAATGATACTCTTATGATTCCAGCCCTGAAAACAGAACACTTTATATGAATTATCTCATTTAATCCATACTTCAAATCTGTGAGGAAGGTGCTGTCAGTTACTTCTATATGTGAGGAAACTGAGAATTTTGTAGGGTCACAGGCTAGGAAATGGTGGAACTGGGATTCAAAACCCAAAAGTATTGTCCTGCAGAGTCCCTCATAACACTCCCTTACTCAAATCTTTAGTGCCCCCTCAGGTGTTTCAGGCAAAGGAAACAGGCAAAATGATAATGTGCATTGGCAGGACATGTGATAGCCACCCACCAAATTTGTCTGGGACAGTGGTCAGAGACTTTTCTGTGTACTGGAGTCACCTAAAGAGTTTTTAAAATAACATGATGCCTTCTCTGGCTCTCCCAGACCAGCTGAAACAGAATCTCTGGCAATGGGGCCCAGGATGGGTATTTTTAAATGCTCCCCAGATGATTCTGCTTTACAGCCAGGGTTGAGAACCACTGGTCTAGAAAATGGAGTGTATGGGGTGGGAGGTCAGGGAGGGCAATATAACTGTAGAAAATAATACTGAAAAAGTAATTTATTTTGACATTTGTCTGCCATTTTTGGTCTTTTGGATGTTTCAGAGGTTATATGTTGTGTTCTGCCAACTGTGGAGCATGTAAAACAAAGCAAACAAAAAACTGGGATCAAGTACAATGTATAGACCAAATTGGAAAGGAGAACAAAATGTACCCAGTAGTATGCTATGATACTACTCTGGTGTTGAACCCAGGTACTTGCTCAGCATCGTTAAGCATTGGGATGACAGGAAGGTTCTAGGACTACAGGTTTGGATCTAGGTGCTGCTTTATCTCTTGTATATAGTCATGCGTGATTATTTACAATCTGAAATACTACAATTGACTTTCCTTTTCCTTTATTACACACAGGGCATTGTATTTCTCCCCAAAAATATGTGCTTAGATTGGTTGTTTAGGAATACCTTGATAGTATAGTACTGTGGATATAAAAATATTCTAAAAAAGGTATTAAATCTGATTGCATTGATAACCACTGATTATAAATAAAAGGTTCAATAGAAACTAATAGTAATAACAGAATATGATTCTCTATTGAAATAGTTCAGTGGGATGTCTCTGTTAAGAATTTCCCTGTAGTATAGGGAAATTTCACTAGTCGTAGCCTGTGTAGGTAGCCTGGCCATTTTTAGTATGGGACATATGAAGTCAATATGGAAGCTATCCTTATCAACAAGTACTTCCTAATAAGCATATTGCTTAACATTCTCATTTATTCACCCAACAACCTCATTTAGGTAATTGATATTATCCTTATTTCTCAGAGTAAAATGTGAAGTTGTTTAAGGGATTTGCTCAGGATCATACAGCTACTAAAAAAAGCAGGCTAACTGAATTCCAAAGCGCAGGCTTTTTAACAGCCATGTCAGAGTCTAGCCCATGCCAGTTTGGGCTTGTGGAAGACAGTCTTCTGGGTCATGACATGAGAATTGGGTACAGTTAGCCTCTGCTTTGTCCTGCAAGAAGGGATCCAGTATTTAAGGATATCTTGGGCTTTTTTTTTTTTAAATTTAAGGACTATTTACTTAATTGGTTGTCAGATTTAACTTTGCAAGGTTGGTAAAGCTATCTGGATCTAAGTGTTAATTTCTTTCAGATTTATAACAGTAATTTTGCCAAACACCCATCCGGGGATTACTTATGTGTTTATCGGCTTTTTATGATTTTATTGTGAGAGCATGACTAAGTAAAACATCCTAGAATAGATTTTGGTAGAAAAATTTTACTCAAGAAAAGAAATAAAGACACTTTAAGGATATGCTAACTGCTAGGTTTCTCAGGGGTTTTCCAGCATTCCCAAAGATCTATAGCATTAACAGTGGTGAGGCGTCATTTATCTTTTTTGTTTCTCTTTCCAAAATAAAGTGGGCTTGATATAATATATCATTGCTGTAAGTAGTAAGTTACTTTTTAGAATCAAGCACTGTAGATCATGAAAATTAACATTTAAGAAATATGTCAAGCTTTTTCAGTGTAATCTTTGTACTCTAGAGGAAAATCTTATTCTCTGTTTAAATGCTTAGGCATTATGAGTCTTTTTTTTTTTTTTTTAAAGATTTTATTTATTTATTTGAGAGGGAGAGAATGAGAGAGAGCACGAGACGGAACAGGGCAGAGGGAGAAGCAGACCCCCTGCCGAGCAAGGAGCCCGACGTGGGACTCGATCCTGGGACTCCAGGATCATGACCTGATCCGAAGGCAGTCGCTTAACCAACTGAGCCACCCAGGCGCCCAGGCATTATGAGTCTTTTAAAACAATGGCTTGAGTACCTTTGTGGCACTTCAAGGGTGGTAGCTGCCAGTTACCTAATGGGTTGATTATTCTAGATTTAAAATGATTACTGTGTCCTTATGCCTAGCTAATCTCTTTTTTTCTGAATTTGGTTTATTTAAAGTTGAAGTTTGCTGCTAA